TCCTGGGGGAGTCCATGGGGACTTTGGGGTCCCCGTGAGGATTCCTGGGGGGTCCGTGGGGACTTTGGGGTCCCCGTGGGGATTCCGGGGGGAGTCCATGGGGACTTTGGGGTCCCCGTGAGGATTCCTGGGGGGTCCGTGGGGACTTTGGGGTCCCCGTGAGGATTCCTGGGGGAGTCCATGGGGACTTTGGGGTCCCCGTGAGGATTCCTGGGGGGTCCGTGGGGACTTTGGGGTCCCCGTGAGGATCCCGCTCCCGGGATTCCCTATGGACGATCCATAAGGAGCCGCGACCCTCCGGAACCTCTGTCCCACCAGGGGGCGCCATCCGTCCCGCGGCCGCTCCTCACGTCTCTATGGCGGGAGGGGGGGGCGCGCTGGGCTCTCTCGATGATCCACGGTCGCTTCCGGTCTGTCTAGCGGAAGTGACGTCAGAGAGCGGCGGCGGCGGGAGCAGGAGCGAGGTGTGGGGGAGGGGAAAGGGTGGGGTCGGAAGATCCCGAGGGGTCCGGGGAGGGTGGGAAATTGGCTCGGGTGGTTCCGGCTGTCGTGACAGGTCGGCGACATCCCGCCCGGTGTTCCTCGGGGCCCCCGGTGATGTCACCGGGGTGTCCCCCATCAATGTCCCCGGGCCCTGGTGACGTCACACGGGGTGTCCCCAGCCCCCGTTCCCGTAGAATGTCCCCAACCCCGTCTCTCCGCAGGTACCGCCAGCCTCGCCGCTGTCCCGGCGTCCCGGTGTGTCCCCGTGTCCCACTGTCCCGGTGTGTCCCGGTGTGTCCCACGGTCCCGGTGTGTCCCGGTGTGTCCCACTGTCCCGGTGTGTCCCGGTGTGTCCCCGTGTCCCGGTGTCCCACTGTCCCGGTGTCCCGGTGTGTCCCGGTGTGTCCCGGTGTGTCCCACTGTCCCGGTGTCCCCGCTGTCCCTGCTGTCCCCACCATCTCCAGCTCTTGCCGTGTCCCAGCTGTCGCTGCCATCTCTGTGTCCCCCGTGTCCCTGTTTCACTGTGTCCCCTCACACCCTGCCGTGTCCCCTCTAACCCCACAGTGTCCCCGTGTCCCCTCACTCCTCACTGTGACCTCTCTAACCCCACCGTGTCCCTGTGTCCCCACCCCACCGTGTCCCCTCTAACCCCACCGTGTCCCCAGTGTCCCCGTGTCCCCTCTAACCTGTGTCCCCTCACTCCCCACCGTGTCCCCGTGTCCCCTGTAACCCCACCGTGTCCCCAGTGTCCCTGTGTCCCCTGTAAAACCACCGTGTCCTCAGTGTCCCCGTGTCCCCTGTAAAACCACCGTGTCCTCAGTGTCCCCGGTGTCCCGTGTCCCCTGGTGTCCCTGTGTCCCCGGTGTCCCCTGTAACCCCACTGTGTCCCCAGTGTCCCCAATGTCCCCGTGTCCCCTGTAACCCCACTGTGTCTCTGTGTCCCCTGTAACCCCACTGTGTCCCCAGTGTCCCCAGTGTCCCCAATGTCCCCGTGTCCCCTGTAACCCCACCGTGTCCCCGGTGTACCCTGTATCCCTGGTGTCCCTGGTGTCCCCTGTAACCCCACTGTGTCCCCAGTGTCCCCAGTGTCCCGGTGTCCCCTGTAACCCCCCCGTGTCCCTGGTGTCCCCGTGTCCCCTTGGCCATGCCCGAGGCCGTGCACTACATCCACCTGCAGAACTTCAGCCGCTCGCTGCTGGAGACCCTCAACGGGCAGCGCGTGGCCGGCCAGTTCTGCGACGTCACCGTGCGCATCCGCGAGGCCTCGCTGCGCGCCCACCGCTGCGTGCTGGCCGCCGGCAGCCCCTTCTTCCACGACAAGCTGCTGCTGGGCCACTCTGCCATCGAGGTGCCGCCCGTGGTGCCCTCGGCGGCCGTGCGCCAGCTGGTGGAGTTCCTCTACAGCGGCAGCCTGGTGGTGGCTCAGTCCGAGGCGCTGCACATCCTGACGGCCGCCTCGGTGCTGCAGATCAAGACGGTCATCGACGAGTGCACGCAGATCATCTCGCAGGGCCGCGGCCCCGCCGCGCTGCCCCCGCCCCACAAAGCGCCGGGGCCGCCGCTGGTGTCGCCGCCGGAGCTCGAGGGGCTCTCGGAGCCGGCGCCCAGCGGCCACAGCCGCAAGCAGCGGCAGCCGCTGCGCCTGGCGCCGGCGCTCAAGGAGGAGCGCGAGGACCTGGAGGAGGAGGAGGAGGAGGAGGAGGAGGAGGGAGAGGATGAAGAGGGGCCTCAGGAAGGTGTTGTCCCACCAGGTGTGGCCCCCCCACCCTTCCCCACCGCGGACCCCCCGTTTTTTGGCACCCCCGAGGTTTTCCCCGACGCTTTCCTGCCGCCCTGGCCCAGCGACGACGGCGGCGGCGGCGCCTTCGGGCCCGAGCGCGGCCGGGAGGCGCCAGTGGGGGACGGCTTCGGGTTTGGGGCACCCCCAGCTTTGGCACCGCCCTATGAGGGGGGGATGGAGGGGGGGACTGTCCCCATGGCCCCCCCAGCGCCCTCGGCCGGGCCCCACCGCGGCCCCCAGCCCCCCTACCAGTGCAGCCACTGCCAGAAGAGCTTCAGCTCCCGCAAGAACTACACCAAGCACATGTTCATCCACTCAGGTGAGCGGGGGGACGCGCTGGGAAGGGGTCCTGGTGACACAGCTGGGTCTGGTGGTGGCACAGCTGGGTCTGGTGGTGACACACCTGGGTCTCGTGGTGACACCTGGGTCTGGTGGTGACACACCTGGGTCTCGGGGTGACACACCTGGGTCTGGTGGTGACACATAGTGGTGTCCTGCATCCATCCCTGCTGCCCTGGATCAATCCCTTGGTGTCCTGTCAGTTGAGTCCCATTGACCCATGCTGGGCCTGTGCTGACCAGTGCTGACCAGTGCTGACCAGTGCTGGCCTTTGCTGACCAGTGCTGACCAGTGCTGACCAGTGCTGGCCTGTGCTGACCAGTGTTGACCCACATTGGCCCTCTACTGACCCACATTGGCCTGTGCTGACCAGTGTTGGCCTGTACTGGCCCACCTTGGCTTGTCCCAACCCGTGCTGGTCTGTGCTGACCCATGTTTGCCCACGCTGGCCAATGTTGGCCCACATTGGTCTGTATCGACCCATGCTGGCCTCTGCTGGAGGCTTCACTGGCCCAGTGCTGACCCATGGTGGCCCCTGTTGATCCACACTGACCCCTCTTGGTCATTTTGACTCGTGTCTCTCCATGTCCATCCACTTTGGCCTGGGTGGGTCCGTGATGTCCCAGGTCACTCTGTGCTGACCCATCGCTCACCTGGGTTCACCCACGTTGACCCATGGTGGCCCCGGTCAACTGCCGGTGCTCCACATTGAGCTACGGTGATCCGTGGTGGCCCCGGTCAACTGCCGGTGCTCCACGTTGAGTTACGGTGATCCGTGGTGGCCCATATCAATCCGTGGTGACTCATATTGATCGATCCGTGCTGATTGATCCATTGGTCCATGTTGGTCTCTATCAATCCATACTGAACCATCTGGACTCTGTTGACTTCCATTGACTTGGGTTGATCCTTGTTGACCCACATTGATCGGTGTTGGCCCAAATTGACCTGTATTGATCCATGTTGGACAGTATTGATCCATGTTGGACAGTATTGATCCATGTTGGCCCATCTTGATCCATGTTGGCCCATCTTGATCCATGCTGGCCAGTATTGATCTATGTTGGCCAGTATTGATCTATGTTGGCCAGTATTGATCCGTGTTGGCCCATCTTGATCCATGTTGGCCAGTATTGATCCATGTTGGCCCATCTTGATCCATGTTGGCCAGTATTGATCTATGTTGGCCAGTATTGATCCATGTTGGCCAGTATTGATCCGTGTTGGCCCATCTTGATCCATGTTGGCCAGTATTGATCCATGTTGGCCAGTATTGATCCGTGTTGGCCCATCTCGATCCATGTTGGCCAGTATTGATCCATGTTGGCCCATACTTGACCTGTACTGGTCCATCTTGGCACACGTTGGCCCATGTTGGCCCATGTTGAGCCTGTTGGCCTGTTCCAATCCATGTTGACCCCTGGTGACCCACATGGACCCGTATCGATCCATTTTGGCCCACATGGACCTGTATTGATCCGTGTTGGCCCACATGGACCCGTATCGATCCATTTTGGCCCACATGGACCTGTATTGATCCATATTGGCCCACACTGACCTGTATTGATCCATATTGGCCCACACTGACCTGTATTGATCCATATTGGCCTACACTGACCTGTATTGATCCATATTGGCCTACACTGACCTGTATTGATCCATGTTGACCCCTTTTGACACACACTGACCACTATCGATGTATGTTGGCCCCTATTGAACCATATTGACCTGTACTGACCTATATTGACCCACACTGACCTGTACTGACCCACACTGACCGGTACTGACCCACACTGACCTGTGCTGACCCACACTGACCTGTGCTGACCCACACTGACCTGTACTGACCCATACTGACCTACACTGACCGATACCAATC